TTTGTAGCAGACACCAAGCTGCTTGACCACCAACCTTTCGTCGGTCGGAGTTTTCAGCAGCTTCGGACACTCAGGTAGACTATGGCAATCATGACGTAAGATGCAACTCGTAGTACACGTGGTCCTATCTCATGTCGAATGAATAGTGCCTCCCAACAACTTGGAGTCCGACCCACGACTGAATTGCGAGACATGACTCTTCATCCTACCTCTTTCCAAGTTGCGTCTTATCAACAAGCCGTATAGCAGTTCAGCCACTTCAGCTCGCTCTTCATTGAAGCAGACCAGGTCCCCAAAGTCGTTTTCCCTCCCAGCGACCAAAATCCTATCCAGTGCATCGGCCCATCTACTTTGTAAATCTGTAGGCAACCAGCTGACAGTGGCCTCCAAGTTGACCGACGAACCCAAATCCCCAACATAGCTGGTCTGTCACTATGTCATTTCCACGTTTCTAAGCTTTACAGAGAACTCATTCAATAGCCTCAACAGTATTATCCCCTGACTGTCTATTTCCAACCAATTCATCAATAACTGATCAGGCAATCATATGCTCCTGTGCAAACAAATAATGAAGTATTTCTCTTGTTTGATCATATGCGAGGTCACCAGGCGGTGAAATACGTGCCCCCATTTCTATCTTTCCCTTCCTTTTGCAAAAGTGTAGGAGATGGATCAACATCTGGCTTTTGTCAGTAAGTTCAATTTTTGTCGTATTCCTTAGCTGAACCATAAACAGCTGGTACTGGCTGGGCTGACCATCAAAATACATCGGTTTTATTCACGGCAGATGTTGTTCACAATCGAAGCCAAACGACTTCTGAAGTCCGATGAGAGGTTATTGTGTATATCACTGGGTTCGGGAGATCTAATGGCACTCTTAATCCTGGAATAACTGCATGCCTCATCCTCAACTCTTTATACATTAAAGGACGATACAACCCTTGATCCCAACTCGCTTTGCAGCCTTTTCTCCTCCGACAAACGTTTAAGTGTCTAGTAGCTGAGACAAGTATTCTCACTACATGGGCCGTGCATATTACCGTCAACACTCACATTATCTTCATCATCACCACACAAAGTGTTGGAAAATTCCAAAGGATTGTCCACAGGTAAGACTTCCCTCCAATGTCTGGATCTAGCATTATGAACACGTTTAGAAGCTTGATTCCTACGATCAGAAGGCATATTAAAAAGAGCAGGATACCGGAAATGCTGGAACTTGTTTCCAAAAGGGAAAGATCCGAACCGTCAGCCGTCAAAGTCAAATTGAAAAATTTATGTTGCGGCAAATCCACTGAGTAGCACATAACGAAAATACGAATCTTTGGAGTTCCTAAACCCGAAGCGAGACCAATCAAATCCAAAACGACTGGTTGTCAAGTGAGGAATGTGCATTCAAACAGTAAGCAACTGCTCCGCTGCGGGGGGAAATATTCCAGTACACCGGTGGTCTGAGGGTTGCATGCAGCTGTCACGCACATGCACTAGACAGTGCTCTAACTGCTGCTCGGGAGAATGGGGCAAAGTTGAGGGGTGGTGAGACAACCCCATCTCGAGTTCGACACTGATGTGGTCGGCTTAGCATACGTAGAGATAACCCAGACGCGCCCCCTGAAGTACGTGGACAAAAGCCATCTAGACCTTTTTCTGGTTCTAGATATGTTCCTAGATATTCCAGCGACCTAACATTCCCTGAACAAACAGCTTGTATCACACCTGAGTCACGCAAACTCCTTGGACGCGTCGTCCGTGACTCCTATAGTACTGAGTCAAGGGTCCCGCTATACAAAGTGTGCATCAGTCTAACTTTAGAACACTGCCCGTTCATTCTAGGTGGCTTTCTTATAAGCGGCAAGCTAAAAATTCAGGGGGCACAACGCCAATTTACATTAAAAGCACTAGAAGCCGATTGCAGCCTGGAGGTTTGGATCTGTGGATGCAACATGCTGGAACTGGAAACTGTCTGGAAAGGGGGCAAATATATTTTGCATATATATTTTGTCATAGACTACTTCGTAAGCAAGTTCACTCATGCTACCTGGAAATTAAAACAGCTGCAGCATCCACTCACGATGTACGTAACCACAATCTGTTGGCTGGAAATGAGCGTTGTAGGGCCGAATGGCGAGGAGATTTATTCCTCAGTAGGTTCTCTTACATCTGGACTAGACTTCCCGAGGAAGTACGTGCTGCAGGTTCACTATCCACCTTTCCCTCTCCATTTGATAAGCTGATGAGTCTATCACTTGCCTAGCCACTATCTATACATTCTGGGCCAACGAAAATCCACTGGGGCCTCTAAGTGCGTAAAGTGAGGCTATCATAAATCTCAAGTACCTTTTACGTCAATGGGCCCCTGAATGGTGTTTGATTGCTAATTCATCTGGCTGGATTGTGCAGTCTGAAAAGTATAAATATATAGTCAGTGTTCCCCTTTAGTCTGCCAACAAAAACCGCCTATCTAACAACTTGTGTGAACTTCATGCAAGAAAAACAGAAGTTATTCTTATACGCATAAATTAAAGTTTGCATATTGTTCAAATGAGCCTAAAAAGATAAGAACTTTTCCTCCCCCATTTGTCTTGCCCGGTATTCGATTGTCCGAATTCTCCTTGTGCTTTTTTTTCCTTTCTTTCCAGTATTAACTTGACGATGGAATCCCAAGCATTAATTTGATCAAGAAGTATTAACTTACTGAAGACCACGCTTCATACACAATATTGAAAACTGTTGTTAGAATTCTCTTGCTGGCTCGCCCCCGATTTATTGTCTTTTGAACAGCTTTGCAACCATCTCATCTGCTTATTGGAGCCCTCAATACTACTAAATAAGAAGCCTGAGGTACGATAACTGGCCTCCAATTTCTGGTCCGTCACGAGTGTAGCGGAAATCTGGATAAACATTTAGATATGAGAGGTCGCTTTACCTGGTGACCCTAAGGGTAACATGTTCACAATAATGCTATGCAACGGAGCTGTGAGTGTAAGAATTGCTGTTAAAATGGATGTTCATCCGACGAAACACTGGATTTTTCAGACAACTCAGTCATGCCAGCTACTCATAACACAAACAGCCAATATTGCGCGAATTCGGTGCCCCTTCAATGTGAAAAAAGAATTGTGAGTAGGAATGATCTAAACTCAAAGCTATTTGCATGTACTGTAAAGTAATATTTTCTTCTCTCTTCATAATTTTCAGACACTAGATATCATGATAAAGTTTAATGTCCCCCCTTCTGTAACATTCAACACTGCTCAAATCTCGCAGTTTTCACTACCATTATCAACTTGATAACGCCCGTAAACCAGCCTCCCTCGTGCTAGATTCATAAATTGAGAACAAAACATTTGTTTGTGCACCATGAAAAATGCCAGAGTCAATTCAAGCCTGGGATGCCTTGTGTAACGAAAAAAGTAACGATAAGCAGCAATATCCGGTTAAAAAGGATACGACCTACCACTTTCTTCACGGTGATCTTCGGAATTCCGGTTGCCATTGATGTGATGGCTATAGATTGTCAGTTTTCGCCTTCGAGCCTTTGTTCCCCCTAATTCATGGTTTTCAGCACTCGAGAGGCACGTCAAAAAGCTTCAAGAAGATAGATGATGCATTTTAGCCGTACTTCCTTAGCAGCGCCGTAGATACTCTATCAACTTTAACTCTTTGACACTCGAAGTGGTGCCTTTGCTGTGGAGGCATTCCACTAAGCACAGAAGAAACCATGTGCAGAGTAGTTCCGTGCCGGTATATGAATGCCTTTTATCATTGCGTCTTGTCACCCGTCTCCTTTTACGATGACAGGATTATAGTTTGACGTCTTCCAGTCTATTAAGTCTTGCTGAATAATACATCTTTCCAACATAGCAAGAGGGAATATTCCAATTTCATTAGTTCCATATACCGATTGGATTGCCAACATCTAAGGAAAACAGTCGAAGTAAAACGAGCTTATTTTATTCTGGATATGTGTTTTTTTACAATGAGGAGGATGATCAAGCGAAAACGTATGAACACTTCTAATTACTGTGCAGTCGACTTTCAAAAACCAGAATTTTCCTTCGTCGTTCTTCTTGCATTCTCTGTCTTTTTGTGAAAGGTTTTCGTTCGTCCGATCAGTTGACTGTTTTGAACGCAATGTGAGAATAATAACAAATATACCACCATTCACATAAGCGTTCGCCACATTTTCCTGCACTGTTCAAAGAGTTTCGCCATTAATAATATATATTTTTGAATTACGCATAAGCCATTTTGATGGGCGAGATCAGGTACACGTCAAACACAATCGTCAACAAACATCAGTTTCAATGAAGCGAAACAAGAAACGGCAAAAATTTACATGTTTGAGTTGCTGTGTGTGATAAAGCCTCGCGAAGTTATACATTTTGGCAAAAGTGAAGGCATTATAAAGGTAGAAACGAGCAATCGCCCTGGAAAACATCAATATGCTGGACTTGATTTGCTTACTGTGTAGTCTGGCACTGTCAGCCTACGATCTGTTACATAAGGGCGAATTTCGGTGTGGGAGAGTGGTCCCTAAAAACAGGCATGGATCAGCTGGAATATTCACCAAGCATCTTATAAAACAAAACAAAACTATTATTGTTATCAAGGTACACGTTTCAACGCATAGAAAGTTCATCAAGTTTGCTTTTCCCCTTGAGTATACTACTATTATATAAAACAACGGCTGCTTCCCATATCTTCTGAAGCCAAGGAAAATAACTGGATTGTTGAGGTTGCGGAGTGAAGTGGAACTTCGGTTGCAGATAAGATCCTCGATTTCCTAGCGCATCGATCTGAGGGCTAGATGAGCTTGTGATGATCAGGATGTTTCGGTTTGAACAGCGCCTACAAAAGGAGGAAGGGAACAGCGAGAGAAGGCCACGACCTCTTGCAGTCTTCCTACGGAATGCGGCACTTTCACGATGTTAACTGTCTGAATCCTTTGGGCGCACTTTGTATGACGACACGAATCTTTGGGTTTCAACGTAACTAACCGACAATCATGTTCCGAAAATCAGCTGCACAACCGCTATCAAATGTGCCGCAAAAGATTTTCCGGATCCTACCACGATGTTCTGACCGTTCTGTTCATATTCCATATCCTTCAACCACTGGTGATCTACGATCCTGAAGCTGATAATGAGTAAACCGAATGTTCTCTGTTCCCCTTATGTTGGTAGCACTGGAGCTCCAACGAACCCGTAATAAGACAAACTGCTGAAAATCTCTTACATCTGACGCTTCACGGCCACATTCTCTCTCTGAAGCAGACAGCATTATCCACTTAGTATCCGACATTGAGATAAAATTCGTTTGATGATCAAGCGCGAATATAACGGGTGAATCCCTTTGAATTAAGAAGTGAATAAAACACTTGATTTGTTTTCCAAAACTTTGAGACTGGATGTCATTCCTAGTGGAGTAACACAAATACACCCACTTATTTCTCGCTATTTGAGGACATTATTATCCTGATGCAGCTCTTTTGGATAAAATTCTGGAATCATTATTTTGCCACTCCTATTTTCGCCCCCTGTTCTGCGCTTTTGTGCCATATTGAGAAAATATAGACCCTTGGCGAATTGAAGCAAAATCTCAGCAAGCAACATGAATGCATTTCAGGTAGACAAAAAGGTGAGGCACATCAACAAATCTTGCAGCATGTACCGGAGGAGAAAGCAGGTGTGATGGTAGGGACTTAAGAAAACTACTCTTAACTGAAGGAGAACAACGCATGATTACCGAAGCTTTTGGGTCTGTGGTTACAGTACACAGTAAAGAAGGTCTTAACAAATATTCTGTAGAACCAGTTACCCTCATCAAAACCCTGCGGAGTTCACCGATTTACAACCAGTCACTCTCCCCAGTGAGAGAACCGATTCTGCCCCATGATGAGTCATGTAAAAAGTATGATGTTATTTAAATCGCGCAAATTTTTTTGGACATCTGCATGCAGCTATCCTGAATTATCTAGATTTTCTGCGAGATTCGTGAATTCCTTGAGTTTTGTGGTGCGCAGTTGATTGTCTATGATTATAAATCTTATGAGTCCGACTTTCCGAACTACTTTTATCACGGAAACCCACTCAGTTTTCCAATTCATCTTAATGCTACGCCGGGCTTGCTCTCCGCTGATTAACTCAGTTTATACGAAGCTTGGAAAAGGATGAGATTGCTGAGCTGGATACGTTTTGCGAAAGAACACAGTAAACTACGGAAGGTACCTCCCCATAGCGGTTTAATAATAACATACACAGGGGCCGTGCACTGTGCAGCAGGCTGAAACACAAAAGCATGTCGCGAAACATAGACTGGGACACATTTGATATAGGGTGTTAGAGGATATCACCGGTGCTGGCTCAAGTTACCCGAAATTCTGCCTTGAAAACCATCGCTCAGATGAAATGCTTTTCCCTGACTGGATTATCTAATTTGGTTCAAGCAGCCTGGAAGGAAATCAAAGCAGATATGATGCCAAAGTTTATGTTTTGGACGAAAAATTTGAAACTTTGACAGTCTGTAATCTAATCAGTCACTAAAAATGACGTAAACGTGGCCATCATCTGGGCTTCTAGTTATCCATACGAGCTCACCTTCAAATCCATGATGAGTGCCTTAGATACTGCCTCTGTTTTATAGCAGCGCATCATTTCTACATGCGTACTTTTCTGCCTCTGAGTGCGCATCCGAACTCGTTTTCTCGGAGAAGCCCGCGCGAACACTTGCCTCACACCTGTTTCTACAAGGGGGAGCAGTTCACATTATGCGGGAAGGCGCATCCTACCTGCTATTAACCCAGGCAAGTATGCTTAACAGTGCTTCCGCGAATCATTTTCTCCATCTTTTGCATCACCTGCCAGTTTTAAATGAAGACAATTCTGCTGATCATACGGGTGAGCTGACGGTATTCATGCTATTCATCCTGTCCTCAGGATGTCCTCAGTAAAAAAGCTTATTCACTGAAATTGGGAAGCGGTCCCCGCCAAATTACACCAAAATCAATCCTTCCAAATGTAGCATAGCTAATTTCAACGAAGACGTGAAAGACTTGCACAAACAGCCATGGTCTCATAAGTTCTGTATTAGAAATTGTGGTAAGTACTTACGGTTTAGGGTGAGGATGTTCAAAGTGAGTTGTCGTCTGAGCTAGGGTTTCAGCTGGCAAACGTTTCAGCGTCATTCTAGATACCGTCATCGATACATCGGAGGTTCACAACGAAGTGAAATAGCGGGTTTTAGATGGAAATTTATGACTCACCGCTTTGGGTCACCCGCGTTCGGCATGTCACCAATTAACCTTTCTGTGGCATGACCGACACTACCGGGCATTATTTCGTTTGAATAAATATAAAAATTATCACAGTGAATGAAAAGACTAATTAGGATTACATATAAAATTACTCGTTAAACAGACTGTTTGGACGAAATAATGACCACTGACGTCAGCTACACTACACTAAATTTACGTGGGAACATGCCGGATACCGGCAGCCACTACTTCGTCTGAGCGAGGCTTAGTTGATAGCTTGTTCGGTGCATAGGCACGTTCTGAATCAGATTGTTTGAGTTCTTGCCTCTAGATTCATCAGAGGGGTTAGAAAATGCGTGACTCCTTGACCCATTTTATTTTCCCGCAGCACGTTGAAGTCGCCTCGTTATGACTGTTTCACTTGGACAGTAGTCGTTCCACTGTAGCCATAGGAAATTATAACAATGATGGCCACTTTGTTCCAGACAGCTTTTAGTGCAACTTGGGATTTTCAGCGTGATACATTGCAATAATATCAGTATGCCCCTCTACAACATACAGTATGGCGTTATTGTAAGAATTTAAGTAATGTAAAGCATATTGATGATGAAGAAATTTTTGTGTAGTCAACCAAAATACCGGAAGGAGGTAAAGTGTTCAGACTGTCGCTGTGTGCCATCAAAAAAACAAAGTAACGAATAACACCGTCACTATCGCTTCTGACGCTGGCCAATACGTTTGTGGAATACCGACAGTTGGGGTGAACAAAGCTTCACCACCCAAAATATTCTGCCGAAGAAGTGTTAGAAGTCCTACTGGATGTGCACTACAGTAGTCATTTTCGGGTAGGACTCATCAACTTGCACTTAAGTGAACTTTGCGTCACGTGGTTTCCAAATTTGTAAGGCTCTACGTCCTGTCAAAACGTAAGGATAGTAGATAAATAAATAAATATCTTTTCCTGAAATCATGAACTTAAAAATGCGGAAGCCGGTCTATAGAAGTCGCCAAATTGATAATGGTAGAGAAATTCACAACATTTGAGGCGTCCCAGATCATGCAGAAGGGAAGACATTAAACCCCATCACAATGCAGGTGTTTGCAAGTTATGAAAAGAACAAGAAAATATCACCTCACGGTAGAATTAGCTTGCATCATGCAAAGAGTTTGCTGTGATACAGTGATAGCCGAAACGTTTGTGTTCTTAGTTTCCAACCTGAAATTTTAGGAGTTGACCTCTGGGAATTTTTACCATGCGGCCTTCATTGATACTTTGGTCAAACACCGATTCTCCTTACTTGCCCAATGCCAGCAAATGAAAACGCAAAAAATGGCACAATAGAGTGGTTAGGCGGAATCACACAGTTGGCTTATGGTGCCGGGTTACCTATGTGTATGGGCCAGCTAGCCAGGAGATCACGAACAAACAACTCGACATAATCTGGCAACGTGGCGAGTGGTGTGGATGCTTGGCCACGTACTTCCGGCACAACAAGCCCGTCAAAACCGAGAAGGACTGCATCAGTGCTGAGTATCATCAAACCTAGTTCTATTAACTCCAGGGGATTTTGTGACCTACTGAATAGTTCAAGCTACCTGTGCAGTATCAACAACCGTTGACTATTTTCTAAGCTCTCAGGATTTGTCCTGGTGCGAACTTGACAGACGCAAAGACCAATCACTAATTACTCGAACTTGTTATATACCCACGAATACGAGACCAAGGAAGAACACAACAGCGTAGTCGGATGGAATAGTGTATTCGGATGGTCGTGCCAAAATACCGATGCGTTCCAACCAACTGGCTAGAGAGTCGAATACGAACAATGCAACGTAACACGACAGCGTACCAAATGGTGAGGATGCTTGACCGGGTGCCTTCAGCTTAGTGAGTCCAGTTAAACTGTCAAGGTCAGCAACAATGTCGAAAGTCGTCAAACCCTAGGCTATTGATTTTGGGGGAGTGTGTGACGCTACAGACCACTCCCCCCCCTAGTGTGTTCGTGAGGACCTTGAGACGATACCAGCCGGAAGTAAAAACCCAGTGGTTTCCCCGCCGGTAAAACTCTTCCGATGGGCTCACTGCATGAAGTGGCCCCTGGTTGTTTGAACTTATTCTAGGGTGTCGTGACAATTAAATAATAGAATACAATAAATCGAATTGGACGTCGATCGCGGTCATCGGTTCCTTTTGACGTTCCGTCCAGCGCTCGTTGCACCTGGAGTATAAATAAAAGTTTTTAATACCACGAAAACGTTGCGTAAAAATGGGAATTACTTAAATATAAACATATCGAAAAATAAAAATTTACGCTTATTTTCACCTTTTTTTAAAAAGTTTCATTATATGGTGATTTGGGCTAGAAAAGAGCCTAAAGGGCTTTTCGTGTGTCGCGTGACTTTACGCTTTTGACAAGCTAAGCACGACTGAGCCCACTCCTTAACGTCTTTGTTCATCCCAGGCCGGCAGAAATGTTGTGCGATAAGCCTAAGGGTGGCCCGTACACCTGGATAAGAGAGTTTATGATAGCCACCACTTTATCTCTCAATGGGCGTATACCTTTGTTGTCAATGGCATGCCCAAGGAAGCTAAGTGATTCAACTCCTATTTCACACTTCTGTAAGTTGACTGTGATGCCATGCTTTTTAAGTCTTCCGAATGCGAGGTCCAAATGTTTGAGGTGAGTTTCCTTATTTGGACTCGCAATTAGACAGTCATCGATGTAGACATGAACAAAATTCAAACCACGGAAGA